TAATAATAATAATAATAATAATAATAATAATAATAATAATAATAAACTTCATTGTCATTGTACATAGTACAACGAAATTAAAGATGCAGTCATTTCGGTGATCTACAACAATATTCATATGCACTCACACACCATTCACTACTGTCCCATAACTCCCTTAAGGTTCACATGACAACTTAAAACCACCAATGTCACCCAAATTCCACTTTCATACAGCATTTAAGGCAATAATAGCTCTCGAATGAAAACTATTTTTTAATGTATTTGTCTAGTTCCGGGCAAAGGTATTTTTACCCAGAGGTTTCATTTCTCGTGAGTTTCCCCTAAGCACGAACAATCCTTCCGTTGTTACCCACTCGTAAGTTTTCGAAAAGTAATTAAATTGTTTCCAAGACACTTTATTATTTCATATGTATGAATGCCACACTTTCTTTTTTTGGAAAAGTTTGATTGGCATCCCCCAAAGAAGAAAAGAAAGGCACTAAAGTAGAAAATAATGTGCTGCTGGTTGCCTGTACAATGGCGCTTTTGTATGAAACCGAGCAAAGATCTCCTCCAAAAAGGCCTCAGGTGAAATCTAAGGGGGAAACAATTTGAAAACTGGTGGGGAGTTCATTGGCCGAAGGAATGCGTCTTAGATAAACATCTGATCTGAATTAAGGCGGCTTTCTGGGCTGCTTGTCTCTGCGATTAAGTTCTAATTATTATTGTGAGTTTATTCACCCCCCCTTCCCCAAAATACATTTGGCTGCCTCGGCCTTCTGGCATGAAGGGCCTTGTTATATTGTTGTTTAATGGGGAAATCTATGAAAACAGCTGTTTGCAGGTTGCTCTGCTTTATGAGCCTGCCACGGCTTTCCCCCTTCTTACCCCAAAGTGATCTTTTTTCTCTGGTCAACCAGAATATTGAACTGTGCCGTAATCTTCCGAGGGGGGGGGGCAGCCTTTGGAGATGCAGTTTGTCGTTCTGGGATCACGCAGGGCTAATGGGAACAGTTGCTTTATGCCTTTTAGGTATTTTATTTTATTTTTAAATTTTATTTATATTTACATCTATATCCCGCCCTCCCCGCCATTCAGCAGGCTCAGGGTGGCTAACGGCATATATAAATATACATTAAAATTCCATCAAAATTGTCGATCAATATAAAATCATTCTACATAAACATAGCTTATATTAAAAGATGGCAAATCTTGACTGTCAACTCAACGGTGTCCACAAGCTCACACCCAGCTATAAGCCTTCGGTTGGTGGTGCTGTCGGTACTGTCGGAAACAGTGATGGTACAACCGGGTCATTTTGTAGAAAAAGAGGTGCAGGAGCTCATTAGCATAAGGTATTAGCATAGCTTATTTGCATATGCCACACCCCCTGACATCATCGGAAGTGTGTCAGAAGGCAACACCCACCGCTCAGGCTCCACTGGACTGTTTTGGATTGCTAGCTATTTGGGGGGGGGAGGTGGAACGTGCAGATCTGTCCTCGCAGAGGAGGGAGAGCTTGTACCTGAATAAAACTTGGTCTTAAAGGTGCCACTGGACTGTTTTGGATTGAGTAGCCGGGGGGGGGGGGCTCTGCAGTTTACCTGGCTGCTTCTTGCTCTGACTGAGGGCTGCTGGGAGCAGGGGGTGGGGCTTGTTGCATGTGCCCACCCCTGGGCTCTTTACTGCCGAAGCTCTGCTCCTGTGCGCTCCTGCAGGAAATGACCCCTGGGTACAATTGTTGGCAAGGTTGGTAATTGGGCCAGGGCCTGTTGGAAGAGCTCAGTTTTACAGGCCCTTTACAGGCGGAACGGAAGAGCTCCGTTTCACTCTTGTGTCTTTCTCCCCCCCCCCTTTGTTCTTTCTTTCAAACACCATTTACAGGAGAGTTCTCATCTGCCCGCCTCGTTGCTGCTCGCCCAGCACAAAGATCGGTCCACGCAACTAGAAATGCAGCTGGAGATTCCCAAGCTGGTCAAGCCGGTCGCGTTCTCGACGGGCATCAAAATGGTAAGGCCGGCAGGCATCCGCGTGTGCATCGGGGAGGCGGAGGAGGAGAGAGCTTTCCATGTTCTTTTCTGTGCAGTTTTGTCCATTTCGCAGGTTCTTTAGATTTCTCGGCAGTGCTTCCAGTCGCGGCTGAGTCGTTTGAAGGTGATACTGTAAGGCGGGGCTCCCCGACTTTTTTGAGCCTGCGCGTACCTTTGTAATTCTCCTGACACAAGGGGGGGGGGGCAGTCACAAACTGGCCATTGTGGGAAGTGGGGCCACACACAAAGGAGGCCCTGGTACAGGGGACAAGAGGAGTGATTTAAAAAAAATTACACTGAAGAAGAGGAGCATGACAGCGAACAAAACCGACACTGCAGTGCTAACTACCGCGGAAGCAACCGTTATTTTAATTGGCACAGCCGATCACATCTCCAGCAGCCAATCAGAAGCTCTGCCAGGCAGGATCCCCACTTGGATGCGTGCGCTTCCTAAAAGCACTTGGCAGGCGTCAGGAAATATGTGTCAGCTACGCTGCCATGAGTGTGGAGATGTTTTCTAATTGCTTTACATTCCTTCCCATGCGCTTAATTGCTTCAGAGCTGCAACGCTCATCTTTGAAGTTGTACTGGTGGAGATGGTGGTGTCTATCGTCCGTGGGAGCTTCTCCGTTCCCAGCTTCGCGACCGTTAGAGAGTCTTGCAGTCTCCTGCGCGCGGGAGCCCACCTAATTGGTTATTGCTGGGGGGCACATACGAATTGGTTATTGCTGGGGGGGGGGCGCGCATACGAATGCCCTTTATCCTATTATGCACACAGGTAGCCCGCCATTCCTAACAGTGTTCTTGTTATCGCATCTATGGCTTTTCAATAAAAGTAAAACCTTCCTGAAAGCGTGTACTTCATTGTTTAGCTGTGGGTCCTGACATTATGTCAGTGGGTACTGTTGGTGCCCATGGGTGCCACGCTGGGGGATCCCTGTGATAAGGAAATAGAAGCGTTTACCAAAGTGGTCCCAAAGCCTTGTCACAGAGCTGATTCAGAGCTGGTTTACTAAGGTTGCCCGGTCTTACCTGGCTACCAGTGGGGGGGGGATCCAGCCGCTTCTCTGGGATCGTGTTGGGGGGGCACTCTAGTTTTTGGGCAAAACTCTATGGCTTTTTGCCTTCAAAACCATAGAGTTTGTCCAAAAACTAGAGCATCACCCACTGATGTCTCTGGCACGATAACATCACTTCCTGGTGATGTCATCACGTCCCTGTTGGGACGTGGGGCTTCAGATTGGTGCCCCCCCTCGAAGCGGGGGGACTTCACCGTTTGTATTGTCAGAGGGACCAAACTAGTTGGGATTTGAACTGGGGACTTCACAGTTGGGATTGTCAGGGCCAAACTAGTTGTTGGCCTTACTACAATCAACTTTGTCAGAGCTCTGATCCCCACCTTCCTCACTGGGTGTCTGTTGTGGGGAGGGGAAGGGAAAGGAGTTGGCCTGGCCACTACAATCAACTTTGGAGGCCCTGCTCCAGGTGCCCCCAGTTTCTGATTCTGGTTGGGAGAAGGCCTTCTTGGTGGTGGTGCCAAAGCTCTGGAACCCTGTCCTCAGAGAGCTTCATCTGTCCTCTTCTGTTGCTCTCTTCTGCCACCAGGTGAAGCCTTTTTCGTTTCATTTGGCTTTCCCTCAATGATCCCTCTTTTCTAATGTATGTTTTAATTGCTGTTTTTATGGGTTTTTAATGTATCTTAACTCCGTTTTTAATTGTTTTAATGATGTGTGTGTTTTGGAGGGGTTGATTTTAATGTTTTTAAAATGTGATTTTGTCATGTCTCTTTTAAAATTGTTAGCTGCTCTAGTAGCCCTCGTAAGGACAAAAAGGGTGGGGTTGCAAATTTTGTGAATATATAAGATCACAGCAGCCGCCAAAAAGGGCAGCCTCCCCTCCTCTAGCGTAGCACTTGCCTTATTCTGGGAAGTCTTGTCAGTTAGATTATTCTGTCTTTAGCCAGTAATGTGAAGTAGTAGAGGGTATGTTTGTGTAGGTTGGCGGGTGACATGACAGCTCCAGATGAGGCAAGTTGGTTGATTCGAGACCCCATCATGGCACACAAAAAATGCCTTTCCTGGCACTCACCAAGTGTTTTTAGGAAGTGGGCGGGACCGGGGGGGCTTGTGCCCAGCAGGGCTTTTGTTTGGCTGTGCAGATTAAAAGGCATGCTGTTAAGCAGAGCCTCTGCCTTAAATGTTGAAAGCTTACTTTGAAAGTTCTTCATAAACATAACACCTCTCCCTCCTCCTCCTCCTCCTCCTCCTCCTCCTCCTCTTCTTCTTCTTCTTCTTCTTCTTCTTCTTCTTCTTCTTCTTCTTCTTCTTCTTCTTCATCATCATCATCTATTTATTTTATACCCCGCCCTATCGCACAAGTGCCTTATACACAGGGCTTTTTTTGTAGAAAAAGCCCAGCAGGAACTCATTAGCATAATTGACCACGCCCAACAGCAGGAACTCATTAGCATATTAGGCCACACCCCTGACAGCACAGGTCATTAGCATATGAGGCCGCACTCCCGTGTTACCAGAAGTGTGGTCATCCAGCCACACCCACCTTTTGCTTCTTATTCTGTTTACCTTGTTTGTTGTCAAAACCCAGGGCAGGAACTCCTTTGCATGTTAGGCCACCCACCCCTAATGTAGCCAATCCTAATGAGTTCCTGCTGTTGGGTGTGGCCTATTATGCTAATGAGTTCCTGCTGGGCGTGGCCAACTCAGGAGCCAGCCGGAAATCCGTTCCTGTGCGTTCCTGCCCCAAAATAGCCCTGGTTATACAGAATCAGACCAGTAGTGTCTACTCTGACTGGCAGCAGCTCTCCAGGGATCCAGGCTGAGGTCTTTCACATCACCAGCTCCCCGGTCCTTTTAACTGGAGGTGCCAGGGATTGAACCCAGGACCTCCTGCATGCCAAGCAGAGGCCCTGCCAACCTTGCTCCCTGATAATTGCTCGTTGGCTCCGCCTCCTGTGGAAACCATTTTGTTGTTGCGCCCACCGCCCTGTATCAGAATTCAAAAGGTTCCCGTAGGCTTGAAAAGGTTGAGGTTGGGGACCCCCGGATTAGATATTTCAGCGGGGCGGGGGCTAGCTATACGGCTGATGGTTTTAAAGCAAGATGTGCATTTAAGGTAACATCTGGCTTGACCTTCACTCACCCCAACCCTGAAGCTGTTCAGTGGTAACCAAGCGCTAACCCTTCATCACATTTACCTTGCCAACTTCCGCAGCAAGTAGCTTTTAATTTTGGCTCTGACTTAATCCGCTACATTACTTTGAGATGATTACAACCTCCTTGTTGCTGAATTCGGGGGGGGGGGGGGGGGAAGAGGGAGAGAGCGGACGACGTGTAATTCCCAAATCCTGAACTAAAATCAAAGACTCGCCTTGCTTGTTTTAACACATTTTTTTTGTTGGTTGCCTGCAGCAAAATGCATTGTGTGGAGATAATTACTTAATTCTCCAAATAGCCCAGTGCCAGCTGGAATTGCATTATCGGAGGTGTCAATCTTGTTAAAGCTGCAGAAGTGAGACTCCCTGAGTCTATAAGACTGCAGGTTGTTGGCAAGCAAAGCAACCTGTAGACTTGGCCTCATAAAAAGTTGGCCGAAGTTTTTACATTGGCAGTATGGAACATTCTGGACCTCTGGTGTCCGGAGGGCCAGCTTACCTTTTTGGCAAAAGGAGTCATGCAAGGGATTCTCATTATTCTCATGGAGCTGGATTTTGAAGCTCTCTTCCTCTACCACGACTTCCTGTTTGGCACAGATAGACAAACACATGGAACTGCCTTATACTGAACCAGGCCCCTTGGTCCATCAAAGTCAGCATTGTCTACTCAGACTGGCAGCAGCCCTCCAGGGTCTCAGGCAGAGGTCTTTCACATCACCTTCTGCCAGATCTTTTAGCTGGAGATACCGGAGATTGAACCCGGGACCTTCTGCATGCCAAACAGATGTTCTACCACTGAGCCACCGCCCCTCCCTAAATATAGATCGTGAATGCCAGATAGTGATTACAACGTAGATTACGATGTAATTGTGTTTAGAGCCCATATTCAACCGGCGCTCTGCCTGCTGCAGTGGCTGCAAGTTGAATACTGGATCAGGGTCAAGGTTTTGGTACTAACCTTCAAAGCCCAAAGCCCAAACTGGCCTGGGACCAATGTATCTGTGGGCCCGCCTCTCCTAGTCTATCCCCCAAAGAGCGCTACGCTCAATGGATAAGGGCTACTAGAATGGATAAGGGCAACTAGAATGATAAAAACGGTTGGAACACTTTCCCTATGAAGAAAGGTTAAAGCACTGGGGGCTCTTTAGCTTGGAGAAACGACGGCTGAGGGGTGATGTGATCGAGGTTTACAAGATTATGCATGGTCGAGAAAGAGGTCCTTTTCTCCCTTTCTCACAATACAAGAACTCGTGGGCACTCCATGAAATTGCTGAGCGGTCGGGTTAGGACAGGTAAAAGGGAGTCCTTCTTCACCCAAAGAGTGATTAACACATGGAATTCACTGCCACAGGAGGAGGTGGTGACTACAAGCATGGACGGCTTCAAGAAGGAATTGGATCAACATAACGAGCAGAGGTCCATCCGTGGCTATTAGCCACAAGGTATGGATAGGAACTCTCAGTCTGGGGCAAGTGATGCTCTGTCTTCTTGGTGCTTTGGCGGGGGGCATCAGTGGGAGGGCTTCTATTTATTTATTTATTTATTTATAGTCAAATTTATACCCCACCCTCTCCGCAAAGCAGGCTCAGGGCTGGACCTCCTGATGGCACCTGGTATTTTTGGCCACTGTGTGACCCAGAGTGTTGGACTGGATGGGCCTTTGGCCTGATCCAACATTGGTTTCTCTTATGTTATTAACATATTGAAAAGTATCTGGCTGTCCTCAACCGGAGCCAGGGCTTTTTTGGCCCTGCCTCTGACCTGATGGAACTGACTGTTGAATGAGACCTGGGCCCTGCAAGATTTGA